GGGCGCTTTTCGGACGCACCCTGGCGTTTTTGTTTTGGGCCTCACAATCGGATTTTCGTATGCCGAGACGGCCTTCAATCTCTGCCGCCCAGAATGTCTTTGGAAGGTGTTCAGGCCAGCCCTGGGGCCTCTCGGGGGCGCCCGGGCTGCCCGAAGCCTGGGGCGGGCCTTTTTAGAGATCCGTCGGGCGTCTTTCGGATTGTCTTGGCGGCCGCGGGGATTGTCCTGATTGCTTCTTGGAAGCTCGCCGGAGGGCATTCGGGGCCGTCTCGGGAGCCCGGTGGAAACGCGGAGAAGGCGGCGCCAGAATTCCCTGGCCCTCCGGGAGCAGCCGCGGAAGCTGCAAATGGCCGAACCTGCTCTGTCACGCAAATACGCCTGCGGTTATACAACGTCGCGCCCCTGGTTTTAGGGGCGAGCGCTGAACGCCTCGAGCCGCGCCGGGGGTTCGCCGAGTCGCGTCGGCAGCACCCCTGGAACCATTGAAGCCTTCAGGCAGGCGTCTCTCGGAAGCGCCTCGGGCAGGCTATGGGTCGTCATCGGGCGCCCAGGGCGCGTCGGGGGCGCCTCCTCGAGTCCTCGGCGGTTTCTCCACTCGCGGGCCAACCGAGAACGCGCCGGGGTTATGCTTGGCAACGTGGGGAACTCGCCAGGAAAAGCATCGGGGGGGCAGCGCGGGGCGCCTCGGTCTCTGGGGGGGCTCTGGACAACAGCAAACACCAACAACATACGTCGTGCTGCGGCAGGGCTTGAACGTCGGAGTTTCTGGCCTGGCAAGCCATAGTGACACGGAGCGTTTGGGCGTTGTGTTTCGGGGGGGGCCCGCCATCAGGGACGAATCGGGCGCCGCCGAACATCGCCGCCACCCAGAGCATCGCGCACTCGGGGCGGCAGTCGCCAAAGCGCGCAGCGTTTCGGTGCCGGGCCCGCCTGGGGCAGAATGTCCGGCAGGGCGACGCCCCTGGGCACCGATAGTCTGCGCGATGTTCGAGCTTGCCGGGCGGCGCCGGAGGGCCCGGGGCGACGGCGCCGGGGGCGGCCCCCACCTGAATTTCAAAGTAAATTCATATTGGGCTTGTCCGAGTTCCAGATTGCCCCCCCGGGGGGGCTGCGACGGGGGCACTTTGCTCGATACTTCCGCGCTGAAAATATTCAAATTGGCCTTTTCTGAAATTCAGATAGGCCCTTCCTGAATTTCGACTTGGGGCCGTCTGAATTTCAGGTTGGGCCGCTCTGAAATTCAAATGCGCGGATAGGAGGCCCGGCGCAAGTTTGCGAGCGCCCAAAAGCTGCCCGCGGAGATGCGGAAGGAGGCAGACGAGAGGCTCGCGTAAGGCATCCCCCAACTATCCTGTGATGTCGGGCCCTCGCGCTGAAAAAACAGCGCCCCGCGCCCCCCCCCCCGCATGTCCAGTTCGCCACGCCGCTCGCGAAGATCGCGGCCCCATAGGGAGCCCCACCGAAGGCCCCGGCGGCGAGGTCCCCGCGCGGGCACCGCACCCATTCCGGCGCACCTTCCACGAGGGTCGCGGCCCCATAGGGAGCTCCACCGACGGCCCTAGCGGCAGGGCCCGCACGCGGGCCCCGCACGCATTCCGGCACACCTCTCAAGAGGATCGCGGCCCCATAGGGAACTCCGCCGAGAGACCCAGCGGCAGGGTCCGCGCGCGGGCCCCGCATCGGTTCTGGCGCACCCCTCGCCAGGATCGCGGCCCCATACAGAACTCCACCGAAGGCCCCAGTGGCAGGGCCCGCGCGCGGGCTACGCACCCGCGTCGGCACGGCCCTCGCAAGGGCACCGTTTCCGCGGGGGGGCCCACCGAAGGCCCCCGCTGCAGGTCCGCGCGCGGGGCCCCGCATCAATTCCGGCGCGCCCCTCGCGCAGATCGCGGCACCAGGGAGCTTCGCCACAAGCCCAGGGCGCGGGGTCCACGCGCGAGCGCCGCATCCACTGCGGCGCACTCCTCGCGACGATCGCGGCCCCGTAGGGGGCCCCGCCGAAAGCCCCAGCGGCGGGGTGCGCACGGGGGCTCCGCGCCCATTTCCAGCACACCCTTCGCGACGATCGCGGCCGAACAAGGGGCACCACCGAAAACCCGAGGCGCGGGGTCCGCGCGCGGGCCCAGCGCTCATTCCAGCGCGCCCCCGCGAGGATCGCGGCCCCATGAGGCGCCCCACCGAAGGCCCCAGCGGCGGGGTCAGCACGTGGTCCCCGCACCCATTTTCGGCGCACCCCTCGCCAAGATCGCGGCCCCATTGGGGGCTCGACCGAAGGCCCTACTGGCAGGTTCTGCACGCGGGCCCAACGCCCCCCCCCCCCTCCCACGCGAGGATCGCGGCCCCACGGGGGGGCCCACCGCGGCGCGTGACCAGCGCGCGCGCGCCGTCGCGCGCGCGCGCGAAGCGGCGCCTCACTGTTTCGCTTGTCGAGGCGCTGAAACGCGAAGGCTTGGCCCTTGGAGAACAGCGGGTTGATTTCGAAGCCATGGAAACGACTTGCGGGAGAGAAGGGTGGCCGTCCTTCCCAGGCGCGAACTGCAAGAATTCACCGCGGAGCAAATGGCTCAATTCTATGCTCTCTTCGACGCGGAGGGCCGCGGCGACCTTCTCTGCGAGGCCGCGGCGTCGGTTTCCCCCCGCCCCCTGCGCGGCGCGAAAAGCGCGGGGGAGGGGGCCTTCTTTTCTGGCGGGGGGCGCGGGGGGGCAAGACGGAGGAGTGGGGCGTCCCGCCCTGCCTTTTCATATGTCCATGCGTTGCCCTTCCTCCCGCGTCTCCCAAGCGCCCCTTCTCGCACTGGCCCCCCGCGATCTTCCCGCGCCCCCACGTCGGCCCCAGCGCGGCCGGCGCTTCGCGGGAGACGCGGCCCCGACTGCACGCGCTGCGATCGCGCCGAAACGTCGCGGCCAGGCGAGTGAACGCGCAATTGCCCCTCAAGGTCGCCCCGGCGCGGGGTCGCGACGCGCTGCCCGCGCGCCTGCAATTTCGCACCCACGATGCACGGAAGAGCTGCTCGGTTACAAGATGCGGCCTTTCTCGCCTTCGTGCTCAGTCGGCGCGCGCGATGTCGCAAACAAGAAATCGCTCGGGGCGTTTGTTTCGCGCTTGGCGGTGTCGCGCGATCAAAACGTCGTGATCCTCGTAATCGTAAACTTCGGATGCGCACGTTTTGAAGGCCTTCGCGATCGTCGTAACTATGTCTCTCGTGCCAACGCCCCAGGCCGCAAGCTTCGTAGTCGGCCTAAGCGCGATGACACAATGGCCCACCTTCACGACGCGGCGACAGGTGCCACTGGTGAACCAGATGTGCTTGCGATCGTCCTCAACGCGTTTATGAATGTGCTTCGCCATCTGGACCGTCGGCACCTTGACATGGACGTCGCGTCCGTCGTCAAACGTGTTGGCCGTCAGCTCGATTACCTCGAGTATGTCTGGACTGGCGCAAATTTTGGCGCCCTGCTCTCGCCTTGGCCTGCGTTTGGGCTGCGCGCCCTGGCACTTGCCAGAAGCAGCCACGCCGACCCAGTGCACTACGGGACCACGAACCTTCGATGGTATGTTCGAGTTCGCTGCCTCTGGGCCTGGTCTCTTGGCTTCTTCTGATCAGAGTCGCGATCACCGTTGACCACCATAGGGCACTCCGCGTCGCCGCGCCAGCGCCCGAGGCGGCCGCAGTCGGCACAACGACTGGCGGCTTTTCTCTGGGCGGATTTCTGGTTCGATTTTCGGAAAGCCTCTGGGCCCTGCTGGGGGCCAGTCGCTACTGCTACCTCTTCGGCTGTCGCGAGATCTCGATGCAACGTAGCCCCGCTTCAGCCGGAGGGCAGCGGTCTTCTGCTTACCCCGCCAGCTGGCGACGGAGTTCTCCTGGAGTTCCTCTCCCAACTCCATTTCGTTCTCGTCGTCGTCTCTTTCGACCAGTTCCTCCCCCAGCTGGTCACTATCGTCTTCCTGGTCCTCCAAATACACCTCTGAATCCTCCTCGCGGTGCTCGTCGTGCTCCTGACCGTGCTCGCTCTCAACCCAATCATGCTGGTTGTCTTCCAGGTCCTCCATCTCGCGCACCGTCGTGCAGCGCCCGCGGATGGCCAATTTCGCTTTGTAGCCGTTGTCCTTGTTCTTGTCATCGCGGGCCCCCTTGAACCTCCCATCACGAGCAAGATACGGCAGTGCACCGTGGGACCTCCTAGTGAACAATTTGCTCTTTTTCTCCACCTCGTGGATCTTGGAATGTGCCACCTTCAGCACCGTCCCCATCCGCCGCGAATCGTAGATCCCGCCACAGTTGAAGATCACCTGGCTGCGCTCGCGCTGCGCGAGGCCTGCCCCTCGCAGCATCTTGCTTGCCAGGGCCGTGTCCGAGATCGCCAAGGCCGGGTCCTGGAACTGCAACTCCATGTTTGTTTCTTCCGCAGGTAGGTTAGCCAATCCATCATGGGTTGACCTTCCATCATGAGCTGACCTTGACGCCGCGCTGCCTTCTCCAACTCCTGGCGGGCGTTGTCGAGCCTATCGTGGTCCGTCTTCTCGACGGCGTCGTCGTATATCGCGTAGATCATCTCCAAGCGTCGTCCTTCCTCAAGTCCTCGGGCTCCATGATCTCGATGAGAAATTTCGCTCTGCCACTCATCTGGCTGAAAATGAGCAAGGCGAGCTCCGAGTCGGTCCCCTGGCTGAGGTTCTGAATGATGTCAGGTTATTATTGCGCCACTCCCTGTAGCGCTTCGTCGAAGTCTTAACGTCCCCGTCGAACACCGGCAATTTAACCTGCGACAGCAGCAGCCGTGTCCGACGTGGACCTCCCTCGCGCTGCAGGCAAAGGAGATCCCCCTGCGTCTCCGCCATGACGCGGAGTACCGCATGCAGATCCAAAGCAGCGCCCAGATCGTCGCCAGACGAGGAGCGGGCGGGCGGCGCCAATGCTATTTTGGGCCCCAAGACTGGGGCCGAAATGGCAATAGCGTTAAAAAGTGAAAGGAGGTGATGTTAACAAATCGTGCGTAGCGTACATTTGGCGCGGAGGGAAAACCGCACCAGGGCATGAAAATGCCCAGTGTTTAGGAGGAAACGTGTTCAGGCAGACGGGCGGGGCATCCCGAAAAGTCCCACATTGGGGGGCCAAAAAATGGTTCGGCCCTCCCTTTTCCGGGGGGCCTCCCGTCCCCGAGCCCGATTTCTGCCGACGGCCGCAGGAGCCGCCCGAGAGCGGCCCAGGAGAGCCAGGCGTTGGATGCCTGGGGTCCTCCGCCCGCTCTGTCGCGTCGGCCGCGGAGCGGGCGGCCTGCGCCCGGACCGCGCGGGCGGTCGGGTACCTGAGGCGGCCGCCCTCGGGGGACGCCCAGGCGGCCTGCGCGTGCTCCGCCAGCAGCTCGTCCACCTCCCCGCGGAGGGCAGTTTCCTCCGGCGGCGAGTCCGCCCCGCCGCGGAGCTCGGCGCGCAGCAGCTCCTGCCTGGCGGCCTCATCGCGCGCGTCGGCCGCCCAGCGCGGGCTCAAGGCGGCCTCGCGGTGCTCCGCGGCCTCGAGCTCGCACCTCCTGTGGAAGGGCGCCAACTATGCACACACGCCTGCACCGACCCTGGGCGGCCCCGCACTGGGCCCAGGACCCAGTGTACCTACGCCATCCTGGCTTCGGCAAAAGGCATACGTACCGATCCTGGGCCCAGCACGGGCCGTGGAAGCATCGGTGACCAGTCATCAAACTACCACAAGGAAAGCCGAATAAGGAACGAAGAGGTTTCTCTGGCCACCGCAAGCCTCGGCCACAAGCAGGTCCCCCGACGCAGATCTGACGAACGGCCCAGAAACCAGAGCACCTCCTGAGCCAGGCGCAATCCTCGTTTCAGTGTTTTGAATGCAGGTGTTATGGCTGGCGCCCTCCACGCCTGGTCGCCAGCTCGGCATCGCTGGCGAAGCGCAGGTCCAGGAGCGCGTCCCGCGCGCGCGCCAGCTCCGCCTGTCGTTCGCCCCGGCAGCGCATCGCAGCTCCAAGACGGCGCGCCTCTGCGGGAGGGGGGGGCGCGGAGGGACGGCGAGGGGCGAGGGGCGACTGATGATGATGAAGCTGATGATGGTGATGAGGATGATGATGACGATGATGATGATGATGACGATGATGATGATGATAACGATGAGTATGAGGAGGAAAATGAGGAAGAACAGGAGGTACTAGAATGATTATCCCGGCAAAGCAACCTAACAGCGATGTGTAGGAACATACCTAGAAGCATTCCCCTTAAGATTCAGATGAGAATCCTGTTGTAGAATTCTGCTGTGCTCGCAGTCGTAGTCGCATTCGGCCTCAGTCTGCCGTCGGCCTCGGCCTCAGCCTCAGCCTGCCTCAGCCTAGGCCTGCAGCCTCAGCCTCAGCCTCAGCCTCAGCTCAGCCTGCCTCAGCATCAGCCTCAGCCTCAGCCTCAGCCTCAGCCTCAGCCTCAGCCTGCCTCAGCCTCAGCCTCAGCCTGCTTCAGCCTCAGCCTCAGTCTGCCTTCAGCCTCGGCCTCAGCCTCAGCCTGCCTCAGCCTCAGCCTGCATCAGCCTCAGCCTCAGCCTCAGCCTGCCTCAGCATCAGCCTGCCTCAGCCTCAGCCTCAGCCTGCCTCAGCCTCAGCCTCAGCCTGCTTCAGCCTCAGCCTCAGTCTGCCTTCAGCCTCGGCCTCAGCCTCAGCCTGCCTCAGCCTCAGCCTGCATCAGCCTCAGCCTCAGCCTCAGCCTGCCTCAGCATCAGCCTCAGCCTCAGCCTCAGCCTCAGCCTGCCTCAGCCTCAGCCTCAGCCTGCTTCAGCCTCAGCCTCAGTCTGCCTTCAGCCTCGGCCTCAGCCTCAGCCTGCCTCAGCCTCAGCCTGCATCAGCCTCAGCCTCAGCCTCAGCCTGCCTCAGCATCAGCCTGCCTCAGCCTCAGCCTCAGCCTGCCTCAGCCTCAGCCTCAGCCTGCTTCAGCCTCAGCCTCAGTCTGCCTTCAGCCTCAGCCTCTGCCTCAGCCTGCCTCAGCCTCAGCCTGCTCTCAGCCCTCAGCCTCAGCCTCAGCCTGCCTCAGCCTCAGCCTCAGCCTGCTTCAGCCTCAGCCTCAGTCTGCCTTCAGCCTCGGCCTCAGCCTCAGCCTGCCTCAGCCTCAGCCTGCATCAGCCTCAGCCTCAGCCTCAGCCTGCCTCAGCATCAGCCTGCCTCAGCCTCAGCCTCAGCCTGCCTCAGCCTCAGCCTCAGCCTGCTTCAGCCTCAGCCTCAGTCTGCCTTCAGCCTCGGCCTCAGCCTCAGCCTGCATCAGCCTCAGCCTCAGCCTCAGCCTGCCTCAGCATCAGCCTCAGCCTGCCTCAGCCTCAGCCTCAGCCTGCCTCAGCCTCAGCCTCAGCCTGCTTCAGCCTCAGCCTCAGTCTGCCTTCAGCCTCGGCCTCAGCCTCAGCCTGCCTCAGCCTCAGCCTGCCTCAGCCTCAGCATCAGCCTGCCTCAGCATTCAAAATGTGGCCCGGGAGTCGAATTCTGGGAACTCGAAGACCACGAAGTGGCCTACAGCTGGCTCCAGGCATTCAAAGTCATGCCCAGGAATGGAGTTCTGGGACCTCGAAGACAACGAAGTGGCCTACAGTTGACTCCGAGCATGCAAAAGCATGCCCAGGAATGGAGCTTTGGGAATTCGAAGACCACGAAGTGGCCTGCAGTTGGCTCCGGGCATTCAAAAACATGCCCAGGAATGGAATTCTGGGACCTCGAAGACCTCGAAGTGTGCAAATGCTTGCTTAAAACGACTTCCGCGGATTCTCCCCGGCACCCGTCCGGTATCTGCCCAGACCCCCCTGAGGAGTCAAGATGCTTTCTTTTGAAACCATTAAAAACCTATCAGTCTTCGCTGGTAAGTAAAAAAGGGTGGAAGCCGCGCGACAGAAAGCATGCGGGCAATGAAATGTAGACTGCGGGGCTTTAGCTCTTCATACAGGACGTAGATATGCGTCGACGCTCGGGCCAATCAGCGGCGACCCCTCCCACTTCAGCCGTGATTGCGCGGGCGATCGAACAGCTCTGGCGGAGAAGAGATACGACAGGAAGAAGAGGGCCATAACTGTCCGACCACAAGCAGCCTAGACTCGGCAGGGCGACACCGTCGCTGTCTGACCTGACGGGCGCGCGACGCGTCGGGGGAGCGCGGGCCGATTTAGTGCAATGGTGGGTTCGCGCGTGTTCTTAAGAGCGGCACTAGAGGAGCTCGCGCGTGCAAGTGACGATGCTGGCGGTGGCCTTGGGCCTCAGACGGGAGGTCTGAGCGCTTGCCCCAGGGCACGGGCAAACTCATGGCCCCGGGACCACGTGGATGGAGAGGTGAGAGAGACGCGCCTTGACCTGGGAAGTGGGGGAAGAGGTGATGGATGAAGATAGACCTCGAGGGATGCGCGCACTTGTTGGCGCAATTGCCTCAAGGCTCGCCGCGGCCACGATCCGCGGGGGCCGCTCCGATCTCAAGCTCAGCACATAATCTTCTCACTGGGCGCGTCGAGCAAGGCGCCGCCCGCGGGCGAGGGCTGCCGCGGCCCCTCGCCGGCGCCGGCCGCGCGGAAGGGCCGCGCTGGCGCGCCGACGCTCGACCTTCCCGCCAAACCTGCGGAACTTCTTCTCCATATTTGAAGATTGGCGATGCTCCACTGGCGAACTCCAATATCCTCGAGGTGCCCTCTCGCTTGGGCTCGCTCTCGTTCTCGCTGGCGTCATTGCCTTTGCCCTTGCCAGCTGTCCTGGCAGCGTGCTCGCGGGAGCCGATGGGCGACGTGGCTCCTGTTCTCAGCCAGGAAAGGCGCGGGGTCGAAGGGCGAGATGGAGCCCGCCTCTAGCCCGAGCCGCGAGCCATGGTGAACTTGCCGCTGTCAGCCCCGCGACCAGGTGGCCGGGGCTGGACCTCTGGAGAGAGGGGGCGACAAGGTGGCGTCTAAGGCTTGCACTCGCCCAGAGGTGACAGGGAACGCAACGCACGCGGTGACATCGCCATCGGCCATGCGTGGCCGCGCGGCAGGCTTTTGGACGAGGGGCGCCGAGTGGCGCTTCGTCACGGGTAGCCAATGGGCACCGATCGAGCCGCGGCCGCACGCCGACGTCTGCGAGTGACGAACAGCGGCGGCGCTCGATGCTGAGCAAAGCGCATTGCGGCCTTGCGTCGCTCAGCCAGCCTGAGTCCCTATGGGCCTTGAACATGAAGTTGAGAAAGAGACCGTTGAAATACCGCGCCTTGCCTCGCTGGACTGCCGCACGCGACGCGCTCGAGCCCTGCTCGGCGGCAGCGCCATCGGAGGCCCGCCAGGAGGATGGACCGAGACCGGTCGCGCGCCGGGCCGCCAACTCATCTAGATGCCTGGCGAGGAGGGGCGTCGGAGGTCGAGCGCTTGACCCGGCTCGACCTGGACGGCGCGGCGAATGGCCCGTCTTCCGACGGCGCCACTTCCTCCGCGGGCGACAAGGCCGACGAGAGCGCGGTCCACGAGCGACGCGGCGGCAGCGGTCCTGGCGCTTCGGCGGCCCACTCTGAAGCGCGTCGACACGAGCGCGCGCCGCAGCGAGCAGCGACCAGCGCGCCGCGACGCACGTCGGGGGCCCGCGCGCGGGCCTGGCGGCGCGCGAGCCACCGCGGCGGCGCAGCGCGCTCCGGCCGGGCAGCGGACAAGCTTGCTGATGAGAAAAACGGCAGCGGCATCGCGAATACTTGCCCCTGATCCCCCCGCTGCTTTCGCATCCCAGGCGTCCGCGCGCGTGCAACTACCGACCGCTGCATCGCCATTCCTGACAGCATGCTCTCTCACACTGCCGCGCTGCCCCAACAGAATGCAAAGAAAAACGCGCGCCACGCGTGAGACGTTCCGAACGAGACATGGATGAGGAAGGACCGATGGCTCCGAATATAAAGAGGCACGCGCGATTCCTAAACGCGCGATGGCATGGGTTAGTTGTCGGAGGTCGGCTGGCGCTCGCGCGCCCAAGACAAGGTGAACTTGTCAACCGATGTGAAGGTGACTACGCGCGGTGCATGTCACCGCTGACGACAGCCCTCGGCCACGCCGCGAAGTTCAGATGTATCAATGCTGCCCCTGGTAAGTCCATATACGATCACGTCGCGAATATCTTCCTAGCTCTGGGCCCACAGTTGGCCTGAGATCCAGAGGTAGCGGAGCCTGAGCTCAAGCGGCAGGAGTGAGTGTTCTGCCAGAGGCGTAGGTCTCGTAGCTGCGACGGCTGTGACCACTCCCATCGAGTCGAGGCAGAGCTCATTTTGCAGCGCGAGTGGCCGCTGACCATCTCGTTGGCGACGTGCCGCCCCAGGGCCACGGGGCCCCGAGTGTCTCCTGCAATGCGGCGGCCAGAGCGAGGCCGTGATACGTTAAACTGGGCGCGGCCATCAGCTAACTTGCGAAAGTGTTTCGTGCTAGTGTTTTGGGCGCCCCGCACTGCCAGCCCAGTAAATGACGCGTTTGCATGCCAGCGAGAGCTCGGTGAGCGACCGTGTCGCTGGTGCCCATGCGCGAGAAGGTGGCTCCTCGTAGGGCTCGTCCTGCGTCAGCGCGCTCCTTCTGTTCCTTTCGGACTGCTTCGTTGCTGTATTTCGAGCTTGCGCGTGCATGCGTAGTGGCGTGGCCTCTGCCCATCTCTTCAGTGCGTTGAGATTCCGCATGCGGCCGCACGTCGGCGCCGCTGCGTGCCAATGATGCGACTACGTAAACGCGCAAATCGGAGAATCGCGATGAGGCGCCTGCGCATGCGGCGACGAGATCGGCAAAGGCAGCCTCGACACCTCGGAGAGCAGCCTCATGCGAGTGGGTGGGCATGAGATACTTCGCGCCCACTTCTACTCGCCCGCCCACCCACCTTCAGTCATGGATGTCGCGCGCTCCTCGGCGCGGACCCCGTGAGAAGCAGTTGCGATCTAACCGCGCCTGCAGTTCCTCGAGCACTGCGGCAGCGACGGCTGCCGCGTGCTCTCGAAACTCTCGGGGGGCGAGCAAATCAATGCCACGTTCGACCGCTGCGATCGC